CCGGAGATGATGGCAATCCCCATCGTGCCGCATCCTGCAGGGCATGTAAGTTGGGTTGTATCATGGCTCCAAGTCTGAATTTTACCTATCACACACAGTGTGTATCCCATCGAGTGTGGTTGGCTTGAAAGGGAGTGCTTGTGAACTCGGCCGAAAATCTCACTGCCCGTTTATCATATACATCTCACACCCGAGTCAAAAAATGCTCGTGTTCGTCACCGTAGGCTCGACACGATTTGATGCACTCGTGCAAACTGCCATCTCTGAGCAAGTTCTCGACGCACTACACAAAAAGGGATACAGGCGAATCGCGATTCAGCGGGGCAACTCTGATTTGGGGATGGATGGAGGTGATAACGGGCAGGACCTGATGGTGTTTGAGACAAACGGCATGGAAGTGGAAACTTGGAAGTTCAAGACGTCCATACTGTCAGATATCCAACGTGCCACCCTCGTTGTCAGTCATGCAGGTATTCAATTATTGGGTTCTGTGTTGGATACGTGTCGATTTCTGGTCTAGGGTCGGGAACGATTCTCGACGCCCTCAGACAGGGAAAACCCATGATCGTAGTGCCAAATCCCACCTTACTCGACGACCATCAAGGAGAACTGTCGTCAAGACTGGATGCCCTTGGTTATCTTAAAGCGACCACGGTCAAGTAAGTGATCCTGTAGTGGTTCGTCCTTGAGACGTATCGACCAGTCACCAGCAACCTTGCAGTGACTATCAGTGCCTTTGACCCATCGAGTTTGATACCATTTCCACCATTTGACGGGAGTAGATTCCGTAGATTGATCGACCAGGAGATGGGATACAGTGTCAGCTCATCTTAGATACTCTTGGTAGTTGCGATTTTGTCCGCGCAGTTTCATGAAGAGCGTCACGTCTGCTGTCGTCGACAACGACGATCCCCAGGCATATGAAGATCAGCATGTACACGCCGTTTACGATCACATAGCGTCCCATTTTTCGTCGACGCGGTACAAGGTGTGTCGATCCACGCCCGCAGTTTTGCTTCAGGACTACATACCGACGAGATAGCCATGGCCAATCATCGCTGCGTTTCTCGATTCACTGCCTACGGGCTGGATTGGTCTCGACTCGGGGACGGGCAACGGCAAATACCTGCCCCTCCCCGCAGAGCGGCCTGGCAGTGTCCTTACCATTGGGATGGACCGAAGCTGGAACCTCTTGCAGATCGCGAAGCACGCAGGTAGCGGACCTGGACTTTCGATTACAAGGGAGATTGTGAGGGGCGATGTTCTCGGAAATGGATGGAGGGATGGTGCCTTCGTGAGTTTGATCAACACTCCGGCCAGTTGCAGCTGATCTTGCGAAGGATTATGCTATTTCTATAGCTACGATACATCATTTGGCCTCCCACCAGCGAAGGCAACTCGCCGTGCAGGTCAGTACACATCTTTACGCATAAATCACCAGCCGACTCCGCCCAGCGACTTCTACAATGCGTTTCGCCTGCTCACGGTCGTGTATTGATTTACGTCTGGGCAGTGGAGCAAGATGATCTATCGAAAAGAACTGTGCCTGCAAACGAGGGAGGTGGATCTGGTGGCCTGGATGTCTTCGTGCCCTGGGTCATGTCCCAACAGACGACGGCGCACACCAAGACGCCTCAGCCAGCTCGTGAACCAGCTAGCACACAGAAAGGTGCGCGGCCGGCGGATGTCTCCGTTTACAACCGTTATTACCACATGTTTGCTGAGGGGGAGCTCACGAAGCTAGTCGAGGAGGCGGCAGAGGGGATGGGTCTCATCGTCGGGCCCTTGACCACCGACGCCACCAACAAGCTGGGTTGCGAAATTATTCGGGACGGCTGGGAACGTTCGAACTATTATATAGAGTTGAGACGGTGGATATCGTGACCTCTGGGTTCAGCCCTCGTGGTTCAATATTCACACATGCGTTACGATGACAGCAACCAACAACCAAAACGTATTGCGAAGGCATGGTGATGATATGGTACAGTGGCGGTGAAGGAGGTCATCATGGACTGCGAACATCAATCACTCGCTGCCATAACTATTTGTCGTGATGAGTTGTTCGTCTGGGGAAGAGTAGGAGCTACTTACTAGCATTGATCAGATCTCCTTCGCTTTCCTTCAGTACCCTAACTGCTTTGGCTCTTGAACAGCCAACCTGATTCATAACCAACTCTATGTCTTTGACATCGACGCCAGTTTCATCGACGGGTCCATCATCCTCAGGTGCTTCGAGGTTAGGAATGTCATCCTCGTCGGCTTCGACTGCTGCACCCGAGCTCTCTAGGGTAGAGACATTGTTGGCAGCCGCTGCACCCGAAGAAAGATGTTGAGCTGCAGACAACTGTGCTTGTGAATTCATGTCCTCAATCTAAATCGATCAGTCCGTCGGGCGCGACTAATTTGCGAGAAGGAAACTTTGCACCTTTGCTTCACCAAAGACGATATAGCAATCGCTGTTGTGCGACTTGTATACATCGGGTGAAGAAAGCACGAATAGGACGTTCTTTGGTCTGCGGAGGGTGACCCGAGTGATACCAGGCACCTTTTTGAGGCCTAAGCTGAGGAGAGCTTTACGGGCTTTGCGCTCAGAGCGAGACTGAATCTTGTCTAGAGCAGCCTGGGAAGTGGGGTCCTCCTCATGCTCAGAGTGGTCTGACTGAACTTCCTCGGCAGACATCTAAGTAAGCGTCAGCGAACGAGGCCGACAGACATCTGAGGTACAGCACATGAATCCATCACACAATCACGAAAGGTGTGTTCCATGGCGACCGAGAAACAAACCAACTACCACGACGAATGGCTCACCTTGGTATTTGTAGGGTGTCAAAGGGCGGATGCTTCGTTGCTCGCTGTCGTCGGCGATGGCGAACGTGGAGGCACTGGGTGTTCGGCGATTGCCGGATTGGGCGCCTATTACGTGTTACTGCATCGACAGGCCGTCAGACACTCCGAACGGCCGTCCCCACCGCCGAGGGTGAGGCGCTGCGACTTGGCGGCCGACTCAAAATTTGCAGTTCGCACACACTGCCACCTGTAAGTGTTTCGGAATAAACGGACTTAGCCTACTGACTTAAAGACCAGGTGTGTAACGTCCTCTTTATTCTTATCGCAGACGATGCCCGCACGCGCTCTCAATTTTGGTGCAGGTCCTTCGGCGTTGCCGGAATCCGTGCTAAGGCAGGCTGGCGAGGGCCTCCTGAACTTTCAGGACACAGGCATTGGCATCGCAGAGATCTCGCACCGTTCGAAGGAGTTCAAGACTTATCTCCAAGGTGTCGAGTCCGACATCAGGAAGCTACTCAAGGTCCCAAACAGTCATGCGATCCTCTTCACTCAGGGAGGAGGATCAGCACAGTTCTCTGCTGTCGTATTGAATATGCTAGCTAGACATCATGAACGGTACCCCGCACTCGAACCGGAGCAGCGAGTGATGGACTATGTAATCACAGGATCGTGGAGCGACAAAGCAACCAAGGAGGCGAGAAGGCTCGGGGGTGGCACAGTCAATGTCGTCGCCGATTCGAGAAAGTTCTCTGCTCAAGGGAAATTCGACAACATACCCAGTCACAAAAATGATGCCTACAAGTTCTCGAAGAACCCCGTCCTCATTTACTACTGTGCCAACGAAACTGTCGATGGGGTCGAGTTTGCCCGCGAGGAAGGCAATGAGACTTCGTTTCCCTTCCACCTCCTTCCTGAGGATTCCCCTCTGGTCGGGGACTACTCCTCCTCCTTCATGTCACACCCTATTCCTCGTTTACAAAACCACGCGATTATCTATGCTGGGGTCCAGAAGAACCTCGGTCCAGCAGGATTGACGGTGCTCATCGTCAGAAAGGACTGCATCGTTGATGTCGACAAAGCCGCTCAGAACGGTGCTATACCCATTCCATTATGCACTGCATATCGCACATTAGCCGACCACCAAAGCCTGTACAACACGCCCCCCGTATTGTCGATCTATATCAGTGGACTCGTTCTTAGGCAAATGATGCTGGAGTTTGGGGAAGACGCAATGGAGAAGTACGCCGCGCTTTCGGCAAGCAAGTCTGCCAAGGTATACGATGCACTAAAGAGAGGAGAACAGAAGGGTGTCTTCAAAAGCAAAGTTAGGAATGACTCTGGCAGTCAGATGAACGTCGTTTTTGACGTCGTCGGTGAGGGCAAATTAGACCAGTTTATTGCTGGTACCGAGGCACGGAATATGAAAGGGCTACGTGGGCATCGGTGAGTTCTGTTCACAATGGTTTTAGTTTCATGAGGGCTGACCAGGCTCTGAAGATCTGTCGGAGGTAGGTCAACCTTGTGTTTCCATCCTACTTGATGCGCCAACGCGTTGGCAGGTGTCCGAGTTTCACTTTACAACGCAATTTCAGAAAGCCAAGTTCAGACACTGGTGGATTATATGATTGAGTTTGTCGAAGCAGAGAGCGCCGTGGCACAATAGATGTAATATTTGTCCCTTGCACTTGAGAGCGGAATGTATGGGGAGCCCATTAAGTCCATATCTAGGACTGGTTTGCGCAGGAGTTTCAAGTCACTTTGCCGGAGTGGTTAACGGGATCGCCTGCTATAAGCCAAGCGGTTGGGCTTTGCCCGCGTGTGTTCGAATCGCACAGGTGACGCATTTTTTTTCTATACTTGTTATGGAACACAAGACATAAAATTTTTACGACATCTTGAAAAACCTCATAAGAACATAACATCTGATTAGTGACTGTCTACTGTGATGAAGCTAACATCTGGGTAACATATTTTACAGCAACAAGTGAGGAATTGAATGCAGTGACAACAAAGTCGAAGGTGACAACTTTTGCCATATAGCATTTCGAAGTGCGCAGTGTCCAACTTTGATGTCGGCCTCGGTGTTCCGTTGATGAAACAGAGCTCCTTCGCTTGTTTATCCAGACGGAACCGTCTGCGGGCGCTTGACACAATGGCCAGGTATCTTTGCATGACACTACAATATCAGAGGACGAGTCCCAGCACTTTGTACATGCCCCATGGCTGAGTTGGTTACAGCGTCCGACTGTTACTACACAAGCATCGGAAGGTCGTGAGTTCGAGCCTCACTGGGGCAGGATTTTTTTTTTTTCTATGAGCATCGGTAGATAGTTCAAGCCAGGTTTGACCGTCAACATTTCAATTTTGTGACCCTCGTACATTATCCTATGGTTAACATCAGGGGTATACCTCCAACAAAAATGTACCGAAGCAAACCAAAAAATAGAAGTCTGCCCCAGTGAGGCTCGAACTCACGACCTTCCGATGTTTGTGTAGTAACAGTCGGACGCTGTAACCAACTCAGCCATGGGGCACACATGCAACCAATTTGTTTCACCCGTCGACAACGCTTGCATTCGGTAGATGACAGACGAGCCGAAAGCTGCCGTCCCTTCCTCGGCGCACTCATGATGGTGAGAAAGGGGTCGAAACAAGCTAGGACAGCACCCCCGAAATGCGAGGATCAGCGCATCGGCTTTCCTCCTATTTTTCCAAAGAATGACCTGCTCCCTCATGTTATCCTCGAAGACCAGATAATCATAATCGATGTGCGTTTTGGTGCTTATAACTAGCTCTTGTGTTAACTGGGATTGTTACAGGGACTTTTATCTGCAGAGGAGTGCAAGAAATTCGTCAAATTCATTGACGAGTTATCGCTCGAGCTTACCCCGCCCAAGAGGAAAGGGGAAGCCGAGAGGGTCAATTGTAAGTGGACATTTGTTCGTCCGGGATGTACTGACCGAGACTCGAGTCGACCTAATTCCGTAGGCAGGACGTCGGTATTATCACCATCTTTTGCTGAGAAGTTACACTCCCTGCTACTACCACACTTGCCATCTTTCCCATATCCTGCATCTGCTAGCAAACGACCCACTGCTCGTGAGAATGACCACCGAAGCCGGCTTCCGCACTCTTGCAATTCGAATATCCGGATATACAAGTATACCCCCATGCAACATTTTGGAGCCCACTATGATGACTCTGTCAAGGACATACACACAGGGGCAAAATCGGAATGGACACTCTTGATCTATCTTACAGGTGTCGAAGACGGTGTCAAAGGCGGAGAGGTATGCGGTCGTGAACATATCAGTTCGACTGTTACATATGTAATTCCTACAGACAGTTTTCTACATCGAAAAGGGAAAACTACGTGAAACGATTGTTGCCCCCCTCACCCGGGGTACAGCCCTCCTTCACCGGTGCGTACTCTGCCCTATCGACTTTTTTTTTTGGCGCAAACACTATACAGACACGGCAGCGAATGCTTACTGCACGAAGGAACGCTTGTTCGAGAGGGAACAAAATACGTACTTCGTTCAGACTTGATGTTTCTAGACTGATTCCCGTTTTGAGTGACATCGTAAAAAAGTAAATTCTAGCGACGGCTTTTAGATTTCTTAACCTCTGGCACACCAGCTTCAACTACGTCGTCATCTCGATCCTTGTCATCCCTGGAACGACCCTCATCGCGCCTCCGCTTTTTCCCTTCTCCCTTTGTCTGCTCCTTAAGTTCGTTGATGGCCATTCGCCCTGCTTCGTCGACGCGTTGCTTGAGCAACATCACTTCTTCCTTACTGACAGGCCATAAGTCAAGTTTCTTTTCAATGACCTTTTCTATGCGTTGCAGAAGCTCGACGTCGTATTGTGTGACGATTGTTATTGACTTTCCAGCACGTCCAGCGCGGGCTGTACGTCCAACCCTGTGGATATAATCTTTAGAGTGGGTTGGAACGTCGAAATTTATGACAACGTCCACGGATGGTAAATCTAAACCCCTGAGTTCCACGACCCATAAGCACAAGGGCCGGTTCTCGTTAACAGGGACCTTACCGACTGGCAACATCCGTTGCCACCAAGATCTTGCGACCTCCTGTTTTAAACTTGTTCAGCGCGCCCAACCGCTGGCTCTGGCTCAGTTGGCCATGTAGGGGCACAGCAGGGAAGCCTAGAGTGCGCAACATGATAGACAATCTAGGGCTCTCTGTGAATTTATGTCATTTCCGAATAATATATGCGTACCGCTGGGCATCATGCACAGTTCTTGTAAATAAGATGATTGAGTTAGATGCCAACTCATTAGCAAGGTATATTAGATGCACGTCCTTGTGTATTAACGGCACGAAGAGATAGTATTGCAAAAGGGTCGAAACAGTCTGGTATCTTGCATTTTGTCAGTGTGGTGTCGACAGCATGCTTGACGAGCTTACTTGGATGACACTTCGACCCGTACAGGGTTCGATAGGGAGGCTCTCTGAAGCTTAGCAACTTTCGTAGTCATCGTTGCAGAGAATAGATAGGTCGTACGCTCTTGCGGGATCACTTTGAGTATTTGGTCTATTTCGGGGCCGAAGTCCATGTCCAACAGTCGATCAGCCTCGTCCATGACCTATTTCCTTGAGAGACTAGACGGTTGTTTGTAAGGTGGACCATACCAGGAATTTGAGGCTTCGAAGGCTGAAACCTTTGGTGCTTTGTAGATGATCGTTGAGGCGACCTGGGGTGGCGACTATGATATGGGGTCGTTTCGCAAGAGCAACAGCCTGAGGCATTTTGTCCACACCGCCGATGAGGACTAGACATCTCACACCCATTGCAGCACCTAACGAGTCGAACTGCTGTGATATCTGGTAAGCAAGTTCACGAGTGGGTGCTAACACGACCGCGAAAAGTCCCTTTGGCTCCTCCCAAAGCTTTTGGAGGATAGGGAGAGCGAAGGCTGCAGTTTTTCCGGAACCTGTTTCGGCGACGCCGATGATATCTCGGCCTTGAAGCGCATGTGGAAGGACTTGAGACTGTATTTCGGTGGGAGCCTTGAACTTCATTTTTTCGAGGGCTTCGAGCAAGGGGCCAATGAGGCCGAGTTCTCTAAACGACATTTGGGGTGCCGTGGACGTGGAGGCTTCATCTGGCGTTGGCATTCCTTCGAGTTTCCTGGCCAAGGGCGGAGTGATTTGCAAGGGTGCAGTGGAAGATCGCACACACATATTTCCCACGTCCAAGTATAAGCAGTACTCCTGAGTGCCGTTGATACTACAGTCTTCAGGCTTTGAACGCCACTGAACGGAGTCTCCCATGGCAAACCAGCATGTGCTTGTGACCTACACCGCTGCCCAGTCCTTCCAGTCCTCCGACAACTGGATACATTTTTTGGCAGCCTTGCGTTCCCTCTTACCACTGCGCAACCTTCATTGGAAACCAACCTCCCGTCCGAACTTGAGAACTGTTCAGGAGCTTGACGTTTCTCTGGTTCCCCTCGACTCCCTTCGCGATGAGCATACTTCTCAAGTACCTGTTACTCTGCTTGAGAAACCCCTCCTGAACTTGTATGTGCTGTCCTGTGAGGTGAGCAGGCGGCCCAGAGATCATGCTCAGACAGCAGTTATCAATACCTTCTAGGATGCAGAGACATACAAGACCACCGTGAAGAAGCAGATAAAGGATTGGCAGACTTCCGTCAACCAACGTAAGAATCAGGAATGGCTCATTATTCACGTCGTACGCCCGGATAGTAAAAACGTAGACCGCAAGTTTTTCAGTATGAAAGGATCGGTCCTGGACAAGATCAAGGGAGATTTTAACATCGACAAGCGAGACAGGTATGTGTGCCGAATTCTCGATCCTGTCGGTCTGATTCATGTCGTCTAGGTGTGTACAGCTACCCTGGTCTACTGGCGAACAGAGTCCAGCAGTTTGGGCGGATCTCATCGGCAAAATAAAGGATGGACTCCTTGCTGCATTTGACACAGCCGTACTAGCAAGAGAGGAGGAAGTGAAACGTTCCGAAGGCCAGCGTCACATGCCAGGATGGAACTTTTGTACGTACTTTATCTTAAAGGTGGGTTGCCTATGTTGCCTACTTGCTGAGTACTAGAAGGGAATGCTCTCCGTAGGAAAGCCTTGCATCGTCTTTCGAAGGTGTCAACCTGTTCGAAGACGCATTGCAACAATACAACGAGCTTGAGGCTACCTTCATGAACGTTCTGGGAGAGAAGAATATGTCTTGGTTCGGAAATCTGATCAATCCAGCGCCAAAGGACGACTCATTACCCCTTCTCTCTCCTTCCAAGAAATCTTACCGAGAGCTCATTCTTGCGAACACCATATCGATTTTCGATCTCCGAGTGTACTTACTCGCAAGGCAGAGCATGTTGTTAAACAAAATGCAACAGCCGATTGAAATCTGTCGAAAGGCGATACTCTTTTTGAGCACGTTTGGAAAACGGCTCCGTGAGGTCGAGGTCCGTTCGCGTGGAAGCATTCTCCAGCGTGAAGCTAATATACTATTGCAGATGGCGCTACCCGAATATTTCGTTGAGTCTTGGATATTCTCTTCCGCACTTAGTGTCGTGGACCAGTGTGATGCATGGGCTTCGTCTTGGCCCGAGCTAGAGGGAATCGCGCTTGCACGCTATAACGCAATTAAAGGCGAACTTCTTGAACTTGCAAAAAGCCAAGTCGGTATCACATGTGTACGCTGTTTAATGTTTGCTGATTCAAGTTATAGCTTGACATCCTCGGTGTTAAAGTCGGACATCTTCCACCAAAGCCCCCATTTTTGATGGCTTTACAAACCGTCTCGACAACTCCCAGCTCGCCGTTGCCAGAGAGAAACCCATCACAGCGGATTAGCAAGTACGAAATCATGCTTGCCATAGGGGATATCGAAGCATTCTATGATCTCTACTGTACCATCTCAAATCGGGCAATTGACGCATACGTGAAAGCTGGGCGACGGAAGTTTGCATTGAAGTTACATGGTTGTCTTGCTGCTCTTGACAAGTATGTTAACTCTACCATCTCCTAGATGTCGCTGAACTCCTCATAGTCATCGTGGGCGGCTGTCCAATGCACTGGCTATATTTTCATCGCTCCCCGCACATTATGCCCCCCACATGTGGACTTCTCTGGAATCATTTATGCTCTCTCATGCAATCGATACGCACGCCGTACTCCAGAAGCCGCGGGATCGAGAATGGATTCATCTTTTGCTCGGGTTTCTGAAGACTTATGTGAACGAGCCCACTTCGGAATCGCTTATATCCCATGACATCAACGAATATGTGACTAAGTTAGT